TAACTGGTGTATTATACCCTTTCAAGACAAATGACATACTTCAGAGCCAAGGAAAAAAGCATAAGAAACCAAATAAATGGTATATTTGTTTTAATGCTTTTTAAAATATACACCAATGCCATTAAATGCAGATGGATACCCCCCCCCCCTCTTTTGTTCGAAAAAAGTACAAATGACATTCATTTCTTTTAATAAGTAAACTTTTGAACATGGTATTTATTTGGACTTAAGATGACTTTTCTAATTTACAAGTCATCTTTCACTTTATCATAAACTGATTTCAGGGTCCTGTCTGAAAGTTGAAAGATAACAGTTAAGACGTTCTTGCCTATGGCTCTGTTGCACTGCAGTTCAAATAGCATTTTGAATGGTAACTGAGAAAATATACATGTGCAAGTGCATGTGAGTGTCATGCTATTCATGATAAACCAAAACAGAGGCTTTGTTGTAGAAAAAGTAGAAAATACCACGGGTGTCTTGTGCACAAATGTACTAAAGGGAAAACTAAGGAGGCATAACTTACTTGTAAAACATAATGTTTTGGCTTAGAAAAATGTCATAATTTGCCAACTGATGGTTCTTTATGTTTATCAAATGTATGTAATGTGTTCTGCATTCATTTTAGAAGATTACATACAGGGTGTGAAGCTATGATAATTTATTTAATGAGAAGACATTATCTGTGATGCGATCCTGGAAGTTGGGGTGCATTGCAAATCATGCGGTGAGAACAAGATTGACTTATCATCTAAAAGTTGATAATATGACCGGTTTTTCCATTTGTCTGTCTCACTACCACTTGAAATAAATACATTTTAAAAACTCAAGAACTCCCAAGCACCAAGTTATAACAATAGAATGCTTCCGCAACTTGAAGCTGAAACTATGAGTTGTACAATGTATTAGACCACTACTCCAAAGGTTCCATCGCTAGTAAGTTATTTGTTATTCTTGCTGTTCTAGACTCAACACTTTTCTATAAAATTTTGATATGCAGCATTGTTTGAGAGCAGCAACCACAAAGGCAGCAATGAAGCTTCACAAATTGGAAATACTGAAGCCCAGAGAGAAGCCTGCACGCTGCACTCATCCACATGTGGAAATAAAGCTTTTTTTAGATGCTCAAAATGCAGCAAACTGAAATTCTCTGCTCGTTTTCATCCTGTTAACTTAAGGTTTTATAGAAATTTTCTTTTAAGTATTCCTCTACAAAGTTACAGAGCTGTATTTTGAGATTTTCTCCCTTTTTTGGGGGGTTCACAGGCTGTCACAGGCTCTGCTTCAATACATGTAATGTATAATGTACAAACCACATATTATGTGGGTTGAACAAAAATGATTAAATCATTATTGCAGCACTGACATAGAGAAATTGACATTTGATTTATTATATTTTTCGTGACAAGGCAAGATATGTTAAGGTTATTGTGGGAAAAACTCAAGCAGTCTCCTTCTTTGCACAATTTTCTAGAAAGATGTTATTAAAAAAAACCCAACATATGTGTCACAGCGCAGTGGAATCAGGCACTCATCAATTTTTGGGCATGTGGAGTTATAGCTATCATCTTAAAGCTAGTTTATTAGCCTTGCTTTCTATGAAAAAAATATTCAATTCTCCTTAAAAGAAGTCGAGATATTTGCAGATGAAGGAGGTGGGGTCGCCTGCTTTCAGAGGTAAAATTAAAGAGAAAATGACCGTCAAAGTTTGGTGACTCCAATAGCTAACGAGTCCTTGGAAACTGCAAATTAAAATTTGTTGGGCCTTTAATCAACGTTTTCCCATAAAATCCACACTTAAAAGTGTTTTGAACGGAAATTCGAGGTGTTGAGCCAAAAAACAAAAATTCTAAACCAAATTCCAAACTGGGAGAAAAATGCCGATTTCTCAGATTTAATTATTTTGACAAGCGCCTGATTTCACCACGATGCCTTACATATTACATTAATAAAACAATTATGTCTTTGCCCCCCTAAGTCTAGACAGAGTTTGGTGGCTTGAACTGTCACAGGCCCTGTTTCACCACAACTTAGTCACTCCGGAGGCAAAACCTTGAAGTTGATAATATTTTACTGAACAGAAGGAACTGGAGGAGAAAATGTCTCAATCATTCTTTGACAAATAAATATGAGTTGGGAAAAATGAGGTTAATGCCACAGGAAGGGATGAATGTTTGTGTAGGTATATATATATGAGGGGGTGAGATGCAAAACCCGCTAAGCGACATTTTAGAAAAAAAATGAGATTTTTTGCTTAAAAATGCACATTGTTACCGGCTATCAGACGCACAAAGTGTTTTGGGCCAAAACCCAACACATACTTCATCAAAGCCACCAAAAAATCTTTTTACGCATGTTCGTGCGTATAGCAGCATTAAAAAAAGCTGATTTTCTCAAAAGTGCTCAAATGGATGTAACTGATATTTTGCATGTCAGCCCTTCATAGGTATATGTTTTTATATATATATGCAGTCGAACCTGGTCTGACAGCCACCTATGCAAGGCAATCACCTTTACAAACGATCACCTCCCACTTCACCCCTTGCATTGAGAAACTATCATGAAGACCCTGTCCAAGACATCCAACTGTATAACTAATCCCTTTCCTCCTCAACAATGGGTGGCCGTCTTGGAAAACTCGACTGTGCAAAAGCATGCATGCTCACTTGTTAGTTTGTATGTTTGGGTGTATGAAGCATTAGTGGGTGACCAGCTCATAGACATAAGCTAAGCATGTATACACCATTGTCAAAAAGCACACTGACATTTTTAAAAAAATGACTCTTTGGCAAAAAAATATAAAACTTAATTGGGCGCAAGACCTCATACACATACACAAAACAACACAAATTGAGAAACTTATCAGCATAAATATTACAACCGTATTGTCATTATCAGCACCTCTGTGCCTATGAGGCAGAAATCAAATACGATATAAATTTTAAAAAGTTCACACAAATACAGAAATATATTTGTACATGCAATATCTTCAACCTCTCAAGATACAGGAAGGGCTATCCGCAACGGGCCAAGGAAACTGACAACCAATCATTATGAACTACACACGAAATGAATGGAGTAACTATGACAGATGATAGCCATGATTTCTCTTATTATTTAAGCGTAAACCAAAAGTATTTTCTGCTCTTTTGGCTTGCCCTGGAGTGAACACCACAATCTGTCACTGCTTTCAAAGAGCTGGAGTCAGCTTTTGACCCATGTCAAGTCTGTATAACAGAGAGCATATTAGGACAATAAATGAGAAAGAAAAAAAGTTAAGAGAACAAACAGTAGAAGAAAAGAGTCCACCAACAGCTCGCTCACTCTCGCCAGTAGCATGTGGCAGGAGCAAATCAAGAGTCCACAACATCTAATCTGTATCTGACAAGATACATTTCACCAGCATCTACTAACACATCTAGGCTTCCAGCGCATCAGTCCAGCTCATCAGTCCAAAAGTCTACCAATAGAACAAAGACCATGGACAGAGCTCGGCAGATAGTGGCCGTTGCACTTTCTGACCTTAAAGTAAAGGACCCCCCCCGCCCCCCCCCCACCAAGTCGGACATGGGTATGATATAACGCATGACATCATAGAGCTATATCACTGCATGCACAGGCACTGGAAGCCTACAGAAAGGAAATACTGAAAAGAAAGACATGACACTACTCAGCTAGACAAGCAGCTAGCTGAACACGATTCTGTCCACATCAGCAATGTCACTTTGGAATATATTTGTGTGAAAGTTTCACATGCTCATTGACCCAGTTTAGAACATTTATGAGTCAGGCTGCTCTGCCTCCCAGCCTATCATGGCCAACCTAAGCAGTAAGGGATACTAGATCCCACACCCAATAGAAAGATTGAAACTCAAATTATTTCCCCCCCCCCATGTGGGAATCCCACTCGTTTCATCTGCAGACAAATGTTCAGTACAAAAATTAGAAAACAAAAATAAAATAAAGACCAACATTTTTTTGTTGTCAAGGGAGTAGGAAATATGATTTCCTTCTTCACAGGCAATTTAACAAATCTTAACACTGACATGGACATTTATAGTTACAAATGCTAATTTTTTTCAGGAGATTCTTTCAACAGGGCTAAACAGTACACTGGGTGGTTGAACACGGCAAGTTCACACACACACATACACACACACACACACGCCACGAAAAAAAAAGAAAAAAAAAAAGAAAGAAAGAAGAAATCTTGCTCCTTCATGTTCAAGTTCAACAGTAACTTGTTGCATGCTTTCTTTTAAAGTGCTCAATGGCAAAAAGAAATAAATAAATATGATTATCATGAACAAAACAAAGACACAAGTAGAAAATAATTGGTACAGACGAAAACCATTTGCCCTACCAATTCCAAAACCACCATCACAACTAACAAAATAATTCAAAACCAACAAACATACATGACATATAAATTCCATGGCAGTGAACAGTCATACAATACCCTTGTCAGATGATACACAAAGAATCTATACATATTATATTTGTGAAAGTTCGTCACTTTCGTCGTCTAAAACTTCCGGACCACTTAACTTTCGAATTTGACAAAATTAATGGTGGTTTAGAATCATTTAACGGGTGCACAGTATCACTGAGGAGCCTGAAGTCACTGTAGTTTAATTTTCAGTTTTCATTAGTTTCGTTTAGATCTAATCTTGGGAAAGTCTGTCTTCTAAGACGCCATTGTAAACAAGTGAGATTTCCGTTCCCTAGCCGTTCGTACTGTTCCACACCTTTGAAATTATGGAGTGTACAACAGTACAACCACAAAAGCGAATAGAGAGAGAGAATCAATTTATACATCTCTTATATATTTGGAAACTTGGAAACACATGACATGTGTCACTTTTCTCTTAAGATTTATTGCTCCATTCCAGTAGAGTGTAAATATAGTAGGCCAATGACTTTCAGTTGATGTTAATGCACCAATCATTCCTTTCATCGAAAGGGGGCCCAGCTAGTCCCACATAACTAGAAACTGACCATAGAAAACTTTTCAAGGTACAAGCTCATGTAAAAGCATATCAACAATTAATTTAAAAATTTACAAGGTAAAATTAACTGTTATCCAACATACGAATGACGGAGATAAATTTTCCAGTCCCCAAATATTATAATAATCTGACAAACTGTCCACATAATGCTTCATCAGGGTCAGCTATAGGAAAGAACCATGATTAATGAATTCACAACCAAGCTACCAGTAAGACAAAACTAGGGATTCTTCATCAGTCATGTGATGACTAAAATTTACTTGACGTACCAACGCACAAAACAAGAACATTTACATCACGTACACTGCAGGGAGCCAGACACAAATTGTCGTACAAGGAACAACTTCTGATACAAAGAAAGACTTACGTCAGTCCAAATATTTCCAGAAAATGTTGGCACCATATGAAAGAACTAGAATAATCAAGTGTCAAGCAGAAGTAGGACCAAGAAGGCTGAAACTCTTCAATAGCACTTGCTCAACACATAGGACTTTCCATCAAATTTGAATAGACACTAGAGGGGAAGAACATTAGTTCGAGAACAGACAGTACCAGGTAAACCAAGATTGTAAGTCAATTTCTCATCAGATCTCATCCTTCTGTGCAATTTACAGTACTGCAAACACTGTACCCTCGAAAAACAATTGAAACAACAGCATATATACATATATACCAGAAACATTCTGCTAAAATGTCATATATGTTATGAAATCTTGGTTCATTGTCGTATGTGAGAAGATGCTCTTAAAACACTGTCAGATTTGACAATAATGAAGTACACTCATATGTGACAAATGTTTAAAATCATAGAATCAAAGCGTTATTTTAAAAAAAAGCAAGAACAATCAGTCATCTATGTGTCACTCTTTCATGGGCCTTGAAATCATACGTTCTGTACAGATAACACAGGAGCAGCACAGAAAGCAGAGAAACAAAAAACAAAAAACAAAAAAACAAAAACAAATTCATCAGGAATCTTATTCCAAACATGGACAATACTGTAACCTTTCACACACAACAAAGTCCCATCAGAAATAATTTACAGTACAGCATAAAAAAAAGCACCTACATATTATTATCGACTGTTGAGTGAAACATGAACATGAAACTTTTCCAGAAAGCTATGGCAAATGACATCGGCCCATAAAACTTTGTACACAAAAAAATTACGAAATAAAGAAAACGTCCCTTTTACAAAAAATGACAGCATTCACAGGTGGACACTACTGACTACTGTGCAATGAAGCAATGACAAAAACCTCCAGCCGTCTAGTAGAGAAGGATGCGCTTCTCCACAGATTTGCGGCAGATAGGGCACTCGTTGAGCCGGTCGCCACACAACTGGCACGCCCCATGGCCACACAGGAAGATCATGTTCTTCAGCCGGTCCATGCAGACAGGACAGCAGGTCTGAAGGGAAAAAAAAAAAGAAAAAAAGACGTATTATGTATTTGCTGCATTTAAGTCAGACTTAAACTTCCTCATACTCACAGCCACATTATTTAACTCGAGACTGCCAGGAGAAAAAAAAAGGTGGATCGATATGATTGCCAATAAAATGTTAATTTCTCACATTGATTCCTTTAGAATTAGCCCCTTGACCTGGCTCACACTGAGTCCCGTCCGGCCCGTCCAAAATAATCTTGTCAGTATGTTAGTGTTGAGCGCATGTAATTGGCAGCAAGCGCTGTATGCTTCCTAAGAAGTCGAGAATGTTTCTGAGCGTTCTGGGATCTACTGGGTTAATAATAGTTGTAAAACGCAGGGAGCATACTGTGCAGTGTGGATGTGTGCTTTGTAAATGCAATTTTAACTATTTGTGTCACAATGTGGTGGAATCAGGCGCTTGTCAATTTGGGGCGTATGGAGTAATTCATATAATATAATCTTAAAAGATGTTCATTTGCCTTGTTCTCGATGAAAAAATATCCATTCATCTTGAATAGAAGTCGAGATATTTGCGATTGAAGGAGATGGGGTTGCCTAGTTTCAGAAGTAAAATTAGTGAGAAAATGGCCACCAAAGTTTGGTAAGCCATTAGCTAAAGAGTCCTTAAAAACAAAAAATACATATTTGGTGCCTTTAATTAGTGATTTTTAGTAAAATTGACATGGAAATTTTTTATATGGACATAAAAGAGATCTGAGCCAAAAAATAAAAATTTGATAAAAAATGACCAAACTGGAGGAAAAATGCCAGATTCTTGACTTTCATTATTTTGACAAGTGCCTGATTTCACCACGCTGCCTCACATTTGTTCTTTTTCTTCTTTAGACCACTATCCAGAAACATTTACAGATGGCACCGTGAGCTGACTCTAAATTTTATAAAACATATTGAAGTACATAACAGGGAGCAAGATGGGAGGTGAGAGTGTTCCTGTTACTGTAGAGGCAATGGTAGTGAAAACACATTTATTTCATCGCACATCCACATTTATGACGATGATGCAGCAATGACTCCAAATATTTTGAAACTGCTATAACAAAATGGTTAGAAATTTCGCTACATAAGTACATAATAACGGTTAGATTACAGTTCAATTTCCGATCTTGCCACCCTCCCCTCCCCACCTCCTCTTTTCATTCAAATAAAATTACATTAATTTCTTCTTAAGGTTGACTACAGGTTTTATATAATATGGTATCATCATCTAAACTATGCTTTTGATGGAAACATTTCAGAGTCAAATCTTCATAAACTTAAGTCACATCTTTCCTTTCAACCATTTGGTTTCAAAATGTCATATAATTCTACCATACCTAACAGAAATAAAAGCTCTTATAAATACACTGTTTAAAGAACCACAGACACCAGATAGCTACCATGAGCTGTCCTGCTATGAACAAGTGATCATCTTCAGACTAAGAACCGAACATACACGACTCAGACAACACATGTACAGATATTTTTTTTTCTCCGTAGAGTTTTATGGCACTTGCAACACAATAAGGTTATATAAGTGCCAAAGATTAGAGATGTTACAAGGGAGTAACAAACACAAAGAAGAAGGAGGACAGATAAGGACGACAGATGTTTGATATAAAAGAAGGAGCTACCCCACCAGAGCACCCTCCAACCACCCACACAGATAATTTAAACTAGTAAAAGTAAAATCACCAAAATGCCAGAGTGGAGAGGCGGACCAAACTGTGGAACAGACCCTTCAGCAGTACATGATCCACAAGGCCCTGAGACAGAAAATGTGGCCAACCAACCCTACTGACACTACAAGAGAAGCTATACGGGCTGACAGATGAACTGAGCAGGACGGCCCAGTATATAATGTAGATACTGAACTGCAAGTGTGATGCGATCGAGAAGAAGAAGAAATCTACCATACCTGGTCTTTGATGTCCTGTAGCTGCTGCTGCAGCTTCTGAATGTCGCGGCTGACGTCACGAGACCCGTTGTTCATGATGCCGGGCTTTTGGGGTTCAGGGGGAGCTGAGAGAGAAAGTCATAGAGGAAGTGAGAAGTGGTGGGTAACGCGTAAAGCACAAATAGAATAAAGTTGCTGACACTAAACTTTTAACATATCAGCAGTTATGGAGCGTTCAAGAAGTATTTTTATTATCTCCTTTATTTTTTGGTTACCCAAAGATTCAAGCTCTCTCAGAGTATGTCAATCTTTGACTTGTAACACACAAAAAAAGCCAACTTTAGCTAGTTCACTTTTGTTTGACCACGGTTAAAACAAGGTAAAATGAAATTGCTTAGTTCAATCTCCTCTGATCTTTGCACACGGGTCTAAAAGTTGGATGAACAACACAATCTAAAGGCGGACTCATAAAGGTCACTGGAAACTAAAGTTCCGACACGTTTTCTTTGATGTTCGCCTTAAAGCGGGTCCAAAAAATAATGGGGGAATTTACAGCATGCACCTAAAACGTTAAAAAGTTGACATATTTTTCTCAGCAACACACATTGACATGCCCCTAAGAAACATGATTCAAGAGACGGAGTGAGTAATTTTCAAGACTCACGAGGAGAGGCCAAGACAGTCAGAGGATCAAATCTAAAAGCTTACACTGAAATGTGGGGGCAGGGTGGTGTCACTGTCTCAAAATGAGCAATTTGTAGGCAAGGCTAATGTAAGTCATTTATTTTAGTGATCCTGTGCATGCATCCAAAGAGCGGATTTTAATATTGGGCCTGAAAAGAAAAACTTTTTCATTACTGGACCAAGATTTAAAAAAAAATCTTTTGTTTGGTTGCTGGCCTGCAGAAGTGCCATGCAAAAGTTCGTGGGAATGGGTAAAAAAATTTTTTTTTTAAAAATGTGGACAGGCGACAGTAAACAAGCTATAAGCGGGATGATATCTATTCAACACTGAGTGTTGCATGAGGAAAGAAAAAGACAGAAAAAGGGGTACAGAACCACTCACATAAATGAACTTGAACAGTTTCTTCTTCTTCGTCTTGTGCAATCTGATTACAGGAGGCTCAAAGCAGCTTCTCTAAAAGCCTAAGTAACTGAGTGTATATGTACAGCCTATTTTCATATATATATATATGTATATCATATCACTTCCCTTTAGGGCATCTACTCTACACAGTGTACTTGTGCTGTCTGGAGTTTTTCGTTCTCACTATCATCATCATTGCTCTTTTCACCCTGCACCAGGATATAGGTCACGACAAACACTTTCCACTTTTCTCTATCCTGGGCTAGCCTCTTGATGTTATTCCATGTTTTCCCACTTTTCTGTACATCAATTACTGTAATTCTTTTTTTTGGTTTTAGTTGGGGATTATTTTTGAATTTCGCCTCGGTAGGCTTGCTTTCATCCACTTTAATTAACATAAAAGTCCAAAATGCACACAGGTTACATGTGGGTCTGATCCTCCAAGTCTTTTGACCTTATCCAAGACAATAAGGAGCTCAACCGCACTTCATCTTGGATCTAAGGCGTGAAAAACACGAGAAGAAACCAACGTTACTAACTAATCATAATATGTGCTCCAAAAGTGGCAATGAGACCAGATGCTTTGGCATGAATGAAAGTTTTGTAGTTAAGAAGCCATCTAGATAAAATGTAAAATATATGATCCAGGTACAAACAGAGAAACTTACGAGTGCCTCCACAGCACACAATGAAGGGAATTGTCTTCTCGATGGACGCTCGGCACTGAACACATTTCTTCATCAGGTTTGCACAGCCTGTGGGAGAAAAAGAGAGGGACGGGAAAGGGGGGGGTGGGTTGTTCTTTAATGGTGACAATGTAATAACTTATTTGTTTGTGAGTGACTATCGTTTCTGTGTAAGTGTAAACGGAATGCATAGTTTTAGTTGTCCCCTAGTTCACACCAACCCCTCTCCCTCCACCCAAACCCACGTGAAATACAGTAAAGCAGCAGAGAAAAATGTATTGCTCTGAGCTCAAACCAGGTTCTCAGGCTGATTTCTATGTTTAGAACGGGTTTCAGCTGAAAAAATCTAGAGAAAAAAATTCGGTTACAAGATAAAAGTGGGTTCTGAGTTGGACTGAGTTCTTATGTAGATAGTGTTCTTAGTTCACCCCCCCCCCCCAATGATCTAAATCAAAATGTCGGGGCCAAAACATTTGGGGGTGAAGGAATCTATGTTTAATCTACTTCAGTCTTACCGTCACAAGCACACATGTGTCCGCAAGGCTTGAACAGCACCGAGGCTTTCTTGTCAGAGCAAACCACACACTCTTCAATCTGGAGGACGAAAAACATAAAGAGATGTAGAATTTTTTTTCTCCAGAAATACATTACATAACCCACCACCAAAAGAGCACAGTTTGACTCCTGACAAAGCTAGGGTACTTCACAAAAGACTTTTGCCTCTTTTCAATTGCAAACAGTTTCATGTGGACAGACTGAAAGAGATCATTATTCCATAGGTCACGAGAATAAAACATAATAATAACAATAATAATAATAATAATAAAAATAATAATAATAATAAATAGCATTTGTATAGCGCGTATCCCTGCTTGACAGCAAGCTCTAAGCGCTTTATACATAATATCAAAACTTGGATCTATTTAACAGAATACAGGTCGGAACCTCCGTATTTTCCCCAATAGTTAAGTTTGAACTAACAGTACACACATTTAAAGCAGTGTCTGGATGAGACCTGAGGAAAATTGAGGATGAAAAGTACAGAATTGGTTCAACTGCCTTTTCAAAACTGTGACTATAGTCCTGTATACCGAAGAGGCAGCGTCTCTGAATTTGACGACGTCCACCCCAGATAAACACTATCTCCACTGACACATCAATATGACTTGAAAACCTTAAGAACCTCTTCTTCCAGTCTTTTAGAAAACTAAAAACCTGAAAATCCAACCTCCCAACCAGGGCAGTGCTAGTGACTGAAGATGTCTTTAGGCCATTCCCAAAGGGGTGATATTAACATGTTCATATGCACAGTAAAATTGTAAATGGGCTGATTTATCAATGTCATGCTCATACTGTGCCGAAACAACATAAGGAGAACTGCTGCTTTTTCTTTCCTCATCCTTACTATCGTCATTTTCTCTCTACTTCTTTTGTATGTTTGTCACTCTCTTGTGAACTGTTATTTCCGGGGTGCCATGATAGTCGAAGCAGACTTTGTGCTGTTGAGGCTAGAGAGGTGAACAGAGTAACCACCCCTTGGCGCTCATATAACCTTATGCAGTTGCGAGCGCCGTAATACCTTACTAAAACAAAAAACAAAACCTGAAAATGACATTAACTAAAGATTCCCATCAAAGGCGTCATGACACAGTAGGATCAGGGCTTGTCAGTTTTTGGACATACAGAGTTATTGATGTCATCTTCAAGCTTGTTCATTTGTCTTGCTTTTGATGGAAAATTACCCATCTATTTCGAATAGAAGTTGTGATGTCTGTAATTGAAGGAAGTGGGGGTCGCCAGGTATGAGAGGCAAAATCAGCAAAAAAATGGCTGCCAAAGATTGGTGACTTTCAAATCGTGAGTGTCTTCAGAAACTGCAAATTTAAATGTTTTGAGCCTTTGATCAGTTTTTCAGTAAAATCCAAAGGAAAATGTGTTTTTAAATGGACATAAAAGGTTTAGAGTTAAAAAAAAATTCGATAGAAATTGCTGAATGGGCGAAAAAATTTTGGTTTCTTCGATTTTATTATTTTGATCCCAAGAGTGTCCATTTCACCCAGATGAAACACAAACGACACCATCTAACCTTTGTCCGTGACTGCACGGGTTCCTTGCACATGAGACACTTCTTGACACGCGGCGAGCACAGCGAGCAGGTGCAGATGTGTCCGCAGGGGCCAAACAGCGTGTCACGTTTCTGGTCCGAGCACACCATGCACTCCTCCAGGCTCTCCTGGTCGTTGCGGATGATGGCTGCGTTGGGAGCAGTCAGCGCCGGGCTGGGGAACACAGACATTTTTTTCATTTAACTCTTAGTATACAGAAGGCTTTTCCTCCTTTTCTACACAGTCAATTTTGTCATCTAAGTTTTTAGCTTCACAAACTTCCCAGAAGCTCCACTCTTTTTTAAAAAACCTATTTGCATGAAATAAACACCAAACTGAGTAGAAATGAATGATCCAAGAAGTAAACATACAAGTCAATATTATATAGATGGATTTGCTGAGGTCTTGTCGATTTTTGTCATGATTAAATAAACAAGTGATGCTGTGAGCCAGCTGAACTGGACATTGCATCCTTGGGAAAGGCACTTTACACGAATTTCCCACTTGGCTTGGTCCTTTCGGAGATGGACGTTTAACTCGGAGGTCTTGTCTCTTAAATAAGCTAACAGTGTTGATAGGGGTGTTAAACCTATACCATTTCACCAGCTGAACTTGTGTGCCGTATACAAAGAGTTGATAAAAAGAGAAGCCCATGAGTACGGCCAGGTCATTTGTCAATGAGTGTGTTGGGTGCTCGTTGCATTCTACAATGAATAACTTCCAACAACATATCGTTCAGCAGTGCAGGACACAGAGCCCTAATACATGAAACGTGGCCGACTCCATTGACACTACACTGCGGGTCAACAAAGACCTAAGCAGGACAGTCCAGTAAATGATAGATACCGGTCTTCAAATTTGAGGAGACTGAATAGAAAAAAGGCTTCCAACTATTTTGCACTATCCAGATGCTAACATATGATCAGCCATAAATTGCTGGTCTGTGTTAATAAGGAAGACAAAAAGAATCTACAATCTCTGGCCAACACTTGTCTGCTCTTTGGATGGCATTAAGGAGTTGAGTAACCCTGGCTACAGGTCTTCCTCTCTGTCAGGAACGGTCAGTCATTTCAAGCTGGGTGCACATTCCAGTTTGTAAGACTTTCGAGGGGCCACCCTAAAGATGTGGTAGCATAATATGTAACTTCAGGGGACACTGAACTAAGAAGAAAATAGCTCAGTGCAGAGTCTTAAGTTAAGATAAAGAAACAAAGCAAACTTGTTGATTTACACAAAATCTGATTACAGAAGGAGTATTCAGCAGGGAGGGAGATCGGAGCGGGGTAGCCAGTTTTTCGGGTATAGAATACAAAATACAATAAGATGGTGAAGACAGAATTCAACAATATTCATAAGTTGAAGTAACAAAAATTCAATGACAAAGAAATAAGCAAACTAGGATCTCTTTAAAAAAAAAGTAAAACTGCACATCTGTCAGAGCTCTAAACATTTTTACTCCATTTTCAAGGGCAAGTGGAAATCAGAAGGGGGGGGGGGGGGGGGGGGGGGGGGGTGTCAAAGCTGTAGCCAAAAGGCTGGGAGTTGAATACTCCTGTCTGTGTGGAAAGTCTGTCTGCCCGTCCCCCTCACCTGTTCCGTTCCTTATGACACTTGGCCAAGGTCTTGCACAGGTTGGGGTCAGGGCAGAGGTCCAGGGGTGTCTGGCCTTTCTTGTTCTTCAGGTTAAGGTCTGCCCCATTGGCGGCCAGGAAACAGGCGATAGACGCACTTGACTTCTTGTCGGCCCCTGGGGTGCCCAGACCCATGAGCAGCTGGGGTTAGAAAGAAAAAGTCAGACAGTTATGTCAGTCTCGTACATCAAGAGGGAAATTCCAAGAACAATGGAAAAAAAAGGGAAAACAACACAAGGGTTGACAATATGACTCATGTCCTGAACATTGAACTGCTCGGATTGAGAACTGGGTACTACACACTCAAGACCTTTAAGTATCCAAACAAAGTCTCTCAGGGTGTGTTCTGTGTGGAAAGCGTGTTACGTGTACAGAAAGTGTGTCATGAGTGTGGAAAGTGAGTGTTGTGTGTGTAAAGTGTGCTATGTGTGGGGTGTGTCTTGTGTGTATGGAAAGTGTGTTATGTGTGCTGCGTGTCTTGCGAGTATGGAAAGTGTGTTATGTGTATGGAAAGTGTCTGCCACTCTTCTCTCTCACCTTTCCCACATCCTGCATGTCTTGTAGCTGGCGTAGCTGCGACAGCGTGTGATGTCTGAGCGCCTCATGTAAAGGCGTGTCCCCGTCCTTGTCTGGAATGTTCAGGTTACAGCCCTCTCGCACCAGCAGCTGGGATGGAGGAAAGGGGGGGGAGGGGGGGTGTGTTAGATATAGTATGGGATTCAAGCCCCATTCAATACCAAAACATAAAAGGCCATTTAAGATGTGGGAATTCATAATTCAATGTCCACCTCCAATATAAACAGACATAGGAGCTACAAGAGGCAACCTCCTTCCAATCAAAAGCCATCAGCAAAAACAAGTAAAATGAGAAACACTTGTACATCTAAATATTTCAGGCAGGGCTCGTATGGATTGACCAGATTTTAAAAAAAAGGGGTGTGTGGGGGGGGGGGGGGGGG